ACTCGGGGGACCGTTGCGTCTCCCTTCTCGGGGAGGGGCTGCGCTGGGCGCGGCCAGCCGCTGGTGGAGGCGCGGACGAGTGATAGCGTACCCGTGCCTCTACCTGCAACGGAGAGAAGGAACACCCCGGGTCGGGTTGCTCCCCTTCAGGGTTCAGCCCAGTCCCACATAACCCCAGGTCTGCCCCCGCAGGGCCGGGGTATCTGTAAACAGATTCCCTCGGGTAATAAAATTGTTGTTACATTAAAACAACAATGTAGCAACAACCCTACGCTTCGAGCAAAATGAAGGCATTTCAACGCCAAACAGGCCAGATTTGCCCTACTTGCTCTTTATATATATAAAGCCACAAATCCTGACTTACTTAGAAAAATAAAACGCATACTTCCCGATATGGTGGAAAAAAGATATTATACCGTTGTACGCGGATAGGCTTCAAGGCAAGGAATCAAATATGAGAAGACCTGAATGTGGAAAATGTAAACGAATGATCAACTGCCTGCAAAAACTATAATACATGGGGGGGATTTTTGGGCACTTTTATGAGATACACGTTGGTCAATTTCTGGCGAAAATAAAAAATGTTCGAAAATCAAATAAACAAGATGGCCGCCATACAAATTTCGAAGCCTTCTATAACGGAAACTATTAGAGATAGAAGATGCTGGAAGGAATGTCATAGAGGGCAATAGTGGTCAACTGCCTGTGCAAAAAAATTCAAGATGGCGAATCCAAAATGGCGGCCCAAGAAAAACTTGTTTGGGTTGCGGCTGAAAATTGGCATGCGGGGGGTCTTTAGGAGCCCTTAATCATAATTTGGGGTCAAAAATTTTTTTTCGCCATTTTTTTTTTATAGATGCCATATAAGTTTCGTTAAAAATAGTTGCTGAATGAGACTCGCTCTGTTTCAGCTCAAAATTGGCATGTGGAGGCCTCTAGAAGTGCCAAATAATAGTTTGTGCTCAAAATTGTTTTTTCGCCTTTTTCAAATGTGGCCGCCATACAAGCGTTTGTTGGCAGTAGAAAAAAAATTGTTCTGATCACTTCCAAAATTGTCATGTGGGAGTCTCTAGGAGTGCTCGATAATAATTTGTGATCAGCATTAGTTTATCGCCATTTTTCAACATGGCTGCCATAGAAGTATTTTTTGGCGGATGATTAGATGAAAATTTGCACTAATTCGCTTGAAAATCGGCATGGGAGGTCTCTATGGGTGTTAAATAATATTTCAGGTCAAAATTTATTTATGCCATTTTTAAATATGACTGTCTTACAAACTTTTTTAGCGGTTGATAAAATTTTGGTCTAATTCTACTGAAAATCGCCATGAGGGGTTCTCTATGGGTATTTAATAATAATTTGCAGTCAAAATTTACTTTTTGCCATTCATCAACATGGCCGCCATTAAAGAGCTATGTTATTATTTTTTTAAGTCATAAGTGCCGAGGCCGTAGGCCGAGGACTAGCGGAGGGCGAAGCCTCACCTTACGTAGGTAGTATACGGGGACTAGATTTCACAATTGTTCAAAATGTAAGGCATACTTCCCGATGTAGTGGAAATAATATCTTATTTACTTATACAACTTATAGCGTTCTTGTATCTCGACCGTCTCTCTGTTAGATTCTTTTTTATTGGAAGCTATGCCAAAAAGAGAAATATTTAGGGAAAAAATGCCAGACCATCACTTCAAATTTCTGGTCTTAAACTAGGGAATTTCTTGTACTATAAATACCAGAGTAACGATAAATCTGAAGGCAATACCCACAATACCCTGACCAGGACCAACTTAAAAAAGGTTTTTTTCATAAATTGGCTCAAATAAGGGATCGAATCTGGAACCTCATCAAGCGCCCATAGTTCTAATCACTGTACCACCGAAGAGCATAAGCACACCCCGTAATTTGAAAGCGACCACGCGCCACATGCCGAGCCCGACCTCACCATAGGTGGGGTATAGGGCTCCTATTATACTATGCTTTCTTTATCAGTATGAAAAAGAATCGCAATTATTTCATATTACTATAAGAGTTGTCAATTTACTCCGCATGAACTTGTGTGACTAGTAAATGCAGGGAATATTAAAACAACGTAAAGGGCAACGCATGCTATACTTGATACCCAGAATGCCAATCTCACTCGCACACCGGCGGCGTCCCTACTATCAAACGAGTCTGTCGACCTACTTATGACGACATATTCATCCAAAATATCGCACTTGAAACCAAGTAATGTCGTAATACTAAAATTGGTGGAATTAAGCCAACACGATTAAAAAAAATACTGAATGGATTTTATTGCGAGCAATATGGGTATTTTTATTTATACATAATATTTAGTTATCCTTTAATAAACGAAAATATATATTGATTGGTTTCATTCAGAGTTTTTTTAAATTTTCAAATCGTGTTTTCTCAATTGTACAATTTTTAGTTATGACAGACAGTAATTGGTTTCATGTGCGATATGTTAGTACCACATACTCTACAAACTATTGTAGAGTATGTGGTACTCATCACTAGATGAGCGGCCGCAAATTTTACTCCCATTATATAGTTAAACCATGAAGAATAATTCACAGTGATAAATTCCGAAAAAAATGTTTTAAGACTGACAATAGTTATTTGTTATGCACAGCTGCAAAGTTCTTGTTTGACGCGAGTGACTTGTATTGAAACCTGAGCAAGTAAAGTAAAAAAGTAAATAATATTAAAAATAGACTCCTAAGCGTAGCGAGGGTTTCAATACACGAGACGCAAAACAACTTTGCTGCCGAGCGAAACACACAACTTATCACCTGACTATTATAGCGAGGAAAACGGTAGATTAAAGAAAATCAGTTTTTTCATCGAAAGAAAGTGAGGTCCACCACAGTCCATCGTCAAGTTCGAACTTCAAAAACCTTTTCCACGCTAACATGGAAAAAATGCTTTTGCGCGCAGGTTTCTAATGAGAAAAAGAAAGAAAAAAGCCTGGGAAGAAAGCCTTTCCGAGCTAGTGAAGTGAATTCATTCATTGAAATAAATAAAACAAAGGTTTGTTTGAAAAAACAAATATGCGCGATTTAAATCCGAGAAAATAGTTTCATTTCCTAAATAAAACAAAAACAACAAACAGCTACGGTAAGTTGACGTGCAAATAGCGACGGTGTCTCTAACAAGCATCTTGCTGTGGTGGAATAGGAAAGGACTATCGGTGATTATTGAGGCGAACATAGGATTAAAAAACGAACTACGTAAACAAAAAACCTGCTGGGAACTCAAAAGTAAAATTACAAATGTAACCCACTAGTGCAATTTACTGTTATTTTCCTCGCTTGCAAATTTTACTTTTTTTTTTTTTTTTAGTTCCAATAGCAAAGATTTCTCTTAAAGTTAGGAATAAAGTATAACACGTTATACGTAGAAGAATTGAGAAATCTACGCAATGAATTTGTTAAAATTAATATTTATAAGAAACACAGTACAATTTATAACATAATATTACATATAAATATTTTTGTTACTCTTTAAGAATATTAACATTATGTTAAACAACAAAAAAGTATGGGTTAATAAATTACGCCCGAGTCTCCTTGTGTTGTAATTTTGTTAACCCCTACAAACCATTTTTTTTTTGTTTTCCTTTATTGTAGTAAAAAAATAAATAAACATGATAGTTCAAGGGATTTGGCGGATATTACCGAATTAACGCTGCCGCCCGATTTTTTTAGTCAAGCGTAAGTTACAAAAAGATGATATTTTGCCGCCGAAATCTACGAACAAACATATATTGCGACATATTGAAAAAAAAACGTCAAACTCGTGTACAAACCTATTTTCCACCCCAATAGCACAATGTACTATTTTAGATTTAAATTAGTCGAAAACTACCAAAACACAAATTGCATCTAATCAAATCTAAATTATTTAAAACGCTAGCGTAAACAATGACGTTATCGCTGCTAGAAAATGCATTTTTTTAATCAAAACGTTTATAATTCCTTATTCTCGCTGCAAGGATTGTACAGCGACAGCGTTATATATTTAATATTTAAAATTTTTAAAATTTTTGGAAATAAAATCTAAATAACCTATACCTATATGTTAATCTTAAGTATTCAAAGTTTTACAAGTTTAGAGAACACGAGGTCATAAAAAGCCGAATATTCTGGCTATTCTGTTGCATGCTTTACTTGAACCTACAAGGAAAATGGTAGTTTTTTAAATTACTTATTACCAACTTAAAGAACTTTTTATAAATTGCGTCGCCACCACAGCATGTCTTTAAAAATCTTATTTATACAAACTCGTGTACACGCTTATAGAGAAAGCTTTTGTGAAAAAGCCATGTAGACATTGATTAGTTAATAGAAACTAAACCTAATCAATAATATATTAGTACATGTATAATATTAAGGTAAGGTGAATTAAATGTTGTAACGCTCTGGGCACGTTCACAACAGATCTGAAATATTGCAGTATGCGACTGGATAGTTAGCTCTTATTATACAATAATTATGTGTATAATAAAACACGCAATACATAGACACAATAGTAATACAGATAATAAATAATCACAGATAATTCTTACAACCCATAAGTACATGTCAACTTATTACTTATACTTATAACTAAACAAATCAGTCGCTAATCACAGCCATGTAGTCAACTCGATGATTCATTCAGTCGTACAATCGAAGACAGTTGCACGTAGTTCGTTGTGCTGTCACTCGCCACTACTTTCTCTTTTTATTTAATCAACGCGTCAAATCTTCTCTCACACAAATCAATGTAAAATACAAAAATAAATACCCATATCGAATCGACGGTAACAAACCTTACGCTAAAATAACAAATACAAAATGGAAAACAATGCAGTCCGAGTAAGAAAATATAGATTTAACGTCCGCGAACACAGGTTCAATCCACTTGGCAATCTCATTTGGTCTATATACGTAAGACGTATGATTGGCGACAAATGGCGCACGAGGGCGACACTATTTAGAGTTTTACAATCGTACCTGGGTCCGTAAGGCGGGTCTACGCTACGTCGAGGCGGCGACAACAATTCGTCGTATACTCCGGGATACCTATCAACAACACAAAACACTTTTAAAAATTAATACTCATCTTAACCAATTAAAGATCGATCGAATTACCTATACAATAGATTTGTTTTATTTTATAGAGTAGGATTAACCGGACGGTTAGCAGAATAAGTTTTAAAATTCATCGATTTTATGATCCATTAGGTATAAACTATATAATTAAAACTCTTTCACACTGCGCAGAACTAATTGGCTTATAAAGTCGAAATACATATATACAGGGTGAAACAGAACGACTGACAAAGCCGAAAACTATGAAGAGTCTTAAATATGTACTTCATTGTACTAAAAGTCTTTTTGTTCTAAGTGTAATAGTTTCATAATTATTCAATGATAAAGATTTGCTTGATAAGTCTGTGTTGTCAACCCTACACAGTTATTGGATATCTTTGTAATTTAATAGGTCGTTGACCTCCGTCGTTGATCAGCACCTCATCAGTCGCTTTCTTTGATCAGTCACTTCCTTTCATCAATCATCATGTGAATGATGATTAATTGTGCGGGTATCTTATTGTATTACTTTGAAAGTAATTGAAACCCCTAAATTCCGTGTTTGGCGACCCAATATTTACATTTACCGAAAAAATGCACCTCTCATAGAATCTTCGGGAGACATGTTGTTTCTAAACTATGCGTTGTCATAAACTACTTACAACAACTTAAGAAAAGTAAAGTTTTCTAAATGACCCTGGCAGGAGTTCAACTCATATTGTCTGCGTCACAAGATAAGACTAACTTAAATAAACATAATTAAATTAAGTAAACACGTTCTAGAACATGTGTCAAGTGCTCAAATTACAATAGTTTCGTAACCCTTAATCCGGCCCTAACGTAAAATAGTAAATCAAGGCAGCCAATCACGTCTCTTATCACTGCTTAGAGATGCACACTTGATACCTGTTATCTGTTTTTGGTAGCATAATCGGGAGATCGTTATTTTTTTACTAGTCTATTTTTCACTGCATTTGGAAATACTTTTAATTTACACTACAAGAATTTACTAACTTTAAAACGAAGAGTTCATTTTAATGAGATCAACATTTAAAACTAAATTTTCTATTAAAGTGAGCTGGGTAGTTGAAATTTGAATAAATGTTATTTAAAAATAAATAAATCTCTACTTGGAGGTCTGCAGACCACCTCCACGGTTCGTTTTCTTATTTTTCAGTATCGATTATGGAATTGTTAAATTTAATTATTTATTACATTTCATTCAACGACCTGCACTTAACTTACTTTACAACAGACAAGACGATTATTGCGAAACCTATTTCTTTATCATAATTGTCTTTTTAAAATCTAAAACATTTAGATTTTTAATAATCAACGATATCCGACGAGTACGCCGCCGCCGCGCCGCGCGCATCTTCTATGCAGAGTTGCCAATTAACGACTTTGTCCTTTTATATGACATTTTGACATCAAAGACGTTTTTTATTTCTAGCGAAAAATTATTTGGTATTTTTTGCGCGTATTTAATAATGTTTAATCGTTTAAAATTTAATATTATTTTTATCTTAGTAATCAGGAGTCTTTTGCCTGTACTGTGACCAAAATTCTGTAAAGTTCTGGCCAATTAAATGGACCTTCTGTTTAGTGATATTTGCTTTAGTCTAGTTGGCAACACTTTTTCATTCATAAATTAGTTCCATTAGGAACTAATGAATGAAAAAGTTGTATGGTAACTCGTGGTCTCATGCTTACAACACAATTAATTTTTGGGTTGTGACAGCAACTTATTGTAATAGTGCCACAGACATATATCTAGATAGACGCCGCAGTACAGCAATTTGTATGAAAACCAAGCGTGGCACATTTTTTGTACCCGCTATGACGTCACAAGAGCTATTTAGGGATGGAAACCTCCTTCCGCTCGCTTTAAATCGATTGATTGAACGGAATACGTGTAAACAGGCGTATTCCATTCAATTAGTCGATTCTAAATATAATAATTTTTTCCATTCAATTAATCGATTCTAAATATAATAATTTTTGTTCAAGTATTTGGTGATTACAAGTTGTCGTAATAATAGTAGATAGTAGTATAGTAGAAAAATACTAGAATAAGATAGTTAAGTCCTTTATATTACTTGTTTTTAAAAAATGTTGATTACTAAGTTAACACTTTAATTTTTAATCGACTTCAAATATTGAAATTATTGTCCTTCCAATAAAATGAGCTTATTATACATTGACTTTTTATTTGTAAGTCAATGTTATTATATAACATATTTTTGTAATAGAAGATCTTATCAATTAACTTAAATAATGAATACGCACGTCAATATATCGCCATTGCAAAATTAAAACCTCTTATGTGTCATTTTGGTCGACAAGTTTTGTAAATATTTGGAAAGCGTATTCAAAGATACAGAAACATTTTTGCTGTACATTTAAATACCATTGTTTATCCAAATAACAAAATAGAACAAAAATACTCTAAAAATACTAGGAAAATTTTACAGAAGAAAACTCTTTCATTTTTCTATGATAGTTACTTTTAACACATAGGAGATTAAATTTGCAACGACGATATGAACTTGCGACTGCCTTAATTAATTTTACTAGATGGTTTTCTGTTGGTAATTGATCAAATTGATGAATGCCAAGATAAATGAAAATGTTACTGCTGACAAAATATGGTAAAATCTTATTAATCAGAGGAGGTTTCCTTAATGACGGCCTCGTGTGAAATTTTTGTGATTTGTTTATTATTTCTCAGATTTCTAACTCTGCTATTCTGTATATTTGGATAGCATCTTAGGTGGAATAAACTAGACCATCTTCGTCCTCGAAATCAACGCACTCATACATATGACCACCTCCAGGTTTTTATAAAGACAACGCACTGTTAATTCCTTGCATTATATATATTATTCGTCGAGTTGCGGACACCAGCCCGTTACACCAAGTACCAAGTACCAAGTATATATATTTTTGTATTACTCGTACTACATATCCAGCGATGTATGTAATTATTTGCTAACTATATTCGGACATTCGAGACAACGTGCTGCAAAAATTATCGAAAATACTGATACTACTGATAATATATACTACAAAACTGAAAAAAAAAAACAAAACGTTACAACAAAAGAGTTATAGAATATTTTTATAATATTGCTAAGGTCATAATTTTCGTCCCTTTGTTTTCAAAAACGATCAGAAAACAGTGTTGCCTAACGTATATACATCACTAAATGTTAAATTTGGCCAAAGAATATATATTTGTGTGGAAAACCACAATCGGCATGTGACCGGCACACCCAGGAATGTGTCTGGAATGTTTGCAAGAGGGGACGTGGACAAAGCGAACATCCTTTTAATTTAAAGTAAGTTCAATGTTTTTTAATTACCTATTCAAGTGAGAACACTTTTATTTCTTCTGCGAGTGCCAATGACATGAACGCCGCCTGTGGGGCAGTAGATGTACTAACACGATTGATTTGCTTAGGGTTGTTACACCGCGAAAGGACGAACATTTTTCAACTGCTATGTTTTTACATTTAAAGTAAATAAAACTCATGTATGTAGGGTTGTTAACGTGATATTTTCGGCTTTGTCGGTCGTTCCGTTCCACCCTGTATACCTATAGCATGATGCAAGTTCACTAACATGTGTGGTACACCTAAAAGGCACGCGAGAAGGCATTCCAACTATAGACACGTGTATTTTGGCTTTTAATGCTAGGAAAGACATTCATACTTTCTATTTTTGCATAGGTCGCATTACAGGACCGTCTCTTTTGTTTTTCTGTAGGCGCTACGCAGACGGCGTTCATTTTAATACGCGGAGGATTGTATAATAGAAGCATTCCTATAACCCTGTACAGCTATTATAGATTACTCCACGCGTATTAGTGCATCAGATAGAGGAGGATTCGACAGTTAGGGGCATTAAAAAATGTAGTCTGTGCAGCAAGTTATAGGAGTGCCCATAGTGAACACCCTCACGCGTATAACGCCATCGTTGGGAGTAAGATACTCACCGATGCGGCGAAAGAGGGCGCGGCGAGCGCGCCGGGCGCGGCGGCGAGCGCAGCGGCGAGCGTGGTGGCGGCGGCGGCGATCGCGGGCCCGGCGACCGCAGCGGGGAGCGATAACGCAACGGGGAACGATGGCGTCGCCGCGGCGACGGGGATCTACAACCACACCACTTAATTTACTATATTCACAAACAACCAGCAGCGTTAGTACGACAATGTGCGAGAAACGACATAGAAGCGCGAGATATTGCTATTCTGGTGCTTGCCGCGCGTTATCGTGCTAACGCTAAAGGCACGTTTATAAAACAGAATTGTTTTCTTTCTCATCGATAAGGGCATTTCTTTCTGGCAAACCAAACATAAGAGAGAAAAACACCTCATCTACGAATGTTGCGATATGTCGAATCGTAAAGAACAAACTTTTTCCATACAAGATCCTTACCGAGTCAACGACAAAGACCTCTCCCGGGTGCGCCGACGGCGTGGCGACCACGGTGAACGCCGCAGGCGACCGCGGGAAATAGAACGCGACCTGCAAACAATGAAAACACAGTTTATTTTTGTGTGCTTGTACAATACCAAATAATGGAGCAACAAACACTGATTAGCGACAATTATTTGAACGAATCTGTACATAATGAAAAGCAGAAAAGCTTTTTTCTTTTATTTGCTTTCAATTCAATATCTTACAAAAAAAGCATACATAAGTTAGGCAAGATAACCAGAAGGACAACGTAAAGATAGGATATGAATTAAAAGGAAGACTGCGAATCGATGACGGAGCCGAGGCATGCAGCTTATAAATGAAATTATTGACGAAATAAGTCATGCAAGTTTTTGACAATGAAACAAATTGAACAAAAATGAGATAGTAAGGATCCGGAGTTTCAAAAAAAGCATGCATAAAGCGAATCGACGTAGCGGGCTGCCGGCAACAATACGTCAATTGAAAGCACAATGAGAGCGTGGAATCAGAGACGAACCTAGAATATCGCGGGCGAGTCGAGGCGCGGCTACGCGGGCGAGCGCGGGGCGATCGTGGTGACCGCGGCGAGCGTGGTGAGCGTGGCGAGCGTGGCGAACGCGGCGACCGTGGCGAGCGAGGCGAGCGCTGGCTGCGCGGTGAGCGAGGCGTGCGCGAGCGAGGCGACCGCGAGCTCGACTGTGCTCGGCGCCGCTCTTCCTCCCTCCGCTTTGCGCGCATCTCCTTCTCGCGAATCATCCGGTTGAACGCCTCCAGGGGATCCTCCTCGGCGGGCCTACGACACAATTGCCCATGTTACTCTCTACGAGCCGAGCAGTAGAAAGGGATCATAGTGACCGAAGCCGAAATAGTAGACGACTTATGAAAATTTTACTAAACCCGTTCAGAGGAGCTGATCTTTTACATACTAAATGATGAGAATCTTGGATGATAAACAGGAGAGAGTACAAAACCCTTACCCATTAGATGGTGAATCCTTGATGCCGGGCGGCGGAGGTTGATAGGGATCTGGTGGGAATCGATTGTTGAATGGTGGTCTTGGCCCACCCACCGGTGGAGGTCCGTGTCTTGTAAACGGTGGCCTGTCAAAGTTATGCAAGTTAACAACAAATTCGAATATTCTGTCAATTCAGCATTCCTCTTTTTTATCACAACTGTAATTTCTTCAAGTACATACAGTGTGTTGAATTGCATTCTCGCCATATTTAAGTAATTAATAATAGAAATATCTAAAAATATTTATAAAAATATTCTGTTCAATATTCTGGCTAATTGTATCTAGTAAAGTTTTGCAAAACTGTCTAAGTCATATGCACCACGCAAGGGCAGTGATCCCGCCACCCGTTTCACCGAGCGATACGTAATCTTTCTCGATCGCTTATGTACCTATTTTTTTAATTATGGTTATGTACTAGTATTGTTATAATTTATTATATATTTACATTAATTAGAAAAGTTGACTGAACTTTGTAACTTAGATTTGGTACTTACCAGCTTTAGGTTACATGAAAGTATTGCTAGAAGTACCTAGCTCCACAGCTGGTGACTGGCTCCGTATCACCACCAGCTATGCAGAGATTCGCACTTGAGTTTCGTTTCAACATTAGACTCCGCAACTTTGAAAGCAGACACTCGTATCGTCGGCGTAAACTAAACTTTTCACATCATGCCGTAAGACTAGACACGCACTTGTAGGTATTTGATGGATTACCATGCAGGTTCTGGTGATGGTAGCGGTTCTTTTCTGTACCACTAACTCTTTGTTTACATACCAAACCATGAGGCATTTCGTGACAGACAAGAATAGAATGTATGTGGGATGTCAGCGTGACGTAGACGCAGTACGGGAAGCAATGTCGACTGATCTACCAATCGCGCGCTCGATACGCCACTTCCCCGTCGTCGCTACCCGCACCCCACCACCAAATAGATTTAAAAAGCGCTACTTTCTGTGCATTTAAGGTCATTGTTCACAACAAAAAAGTGCCCTGCAAGTCAATGACCTTTGGATCAAATTTGTTTAAAATTTGTTTAATTAAATAAAAAATAGGAAATCCTATTATAGTGGTAAAAATGAAATTTTTATTATCAATTAATTTTTTTAGTGATTTGAGTTCCGTTTCGGACATAGAATGACCTCTGTAAATAAGGCGACAATGCAAATCAACACATTGTATAAATAAAATACTCACTCATTATAACGAGGAGGTGCGACACTCGACATAAACTGCGTAGGCGGCCCTCGATTATAAGCGGCCTGTAAAAAACATTAATTATATCAATTTATTGGTCCTAGTTTTAGGTATCAAAGGTAACTTAACATATTCAAGTTCGTTATCAAAATAAAATTACGCTTTAAAATGCTGCAGTGCACAAGTGCCCGTACACCTCTAAATACAGGCTGTATATTTGAACGTGGGACATACTTATAGAGTGCGTTATATTCCTGATTCTGAACCCAAAGAAATAATAAACTAATGAACTTAAACTTTACAAAAAATATTTTTTTAATTTTTTTTATCGACTACTACTTGTGAACAACATTAGTTATCGAAATCTATACACATCACTATTATTGCTCCGACGCAACGGCGAGCTACAGCACGGCGGCGAAAATCAAAACACAGGTCGGGGGTGGGGGCGCGGACGCATAGAGACAGTGCACGCGCGACCTTGGTCTAGCGAAGATACGTAAATTATTAGTACTTCCGTTCGCTCGCGCATAATAGATATCTATTCTAACGTCGAATTGACTGAGATGGTGCGACTTTACGCAACAAGTGGTGATAGTGTGAGACGAACTATTGAAATGTTCCCAAATCGAACTATTAAACAGTGTCGAAGTGTTGCATGAGAGGATTATCTCAGCATTTTATACTATGTGACAAAATGTGTTTGTGTTGAACAATTTAAAACAAAATTTACTACGACGTGCTAGAGTATGTATTATGGAAAACGGTGGACATTTTGAACACTTGCTCCGTAACACGTAAGTGTAAATAAACTGTAAATAACTAAAAAATCAATCATTGTAAATAATTTGATTTCACATTTTTAACTACGCCAAAAACGTCAATTCTTATATTAGTTACTAAATCATAAACTTATCTTTTTAGTACGTAAAACATTTTGACGATAGTTCAGAAGTAAAAAATAATCAGCATAAGCCAAAACGTAATCCTTTCGATTACAGCTTTTTTCTTCAAAACATAAATATGCGTAGGTGAGTAACTTAGTTTTTATTTTCTAGAGAAAAGAGGTGCTTTTAGTAGGACGGGAGATGTGAAATCATTGTTATTGTTGCTGTCTCATTCGGCGCTCGCTTGGTAGTATTCCCATTGCACTCGAAATCAAGCGTAAAGGGAATCGGTTTATTCCTACGTACACTCCAAAACAAATTTGTTGATTTATTTTTTGTTCTATCCCATATCCTAATTTTATTTTAGGCTATATTAACTTGTAACATGATTTACTATGACATGTATGAATATGTCTCACTTTCAAATATACAGCATGTATAAAGGAGTTGTCAAATAAAAATAGATCTCTGCCCACTGGCAATTGCACCCACCTGAGACATAGGATCTCGACGCTCATCAATCGTCGGCGTACTAGCTCTTTGTTCATCCATTCTTGGCATCTGCAAAGTCAATTCAGTCTGAGTATGAAACCAACGATTAGGCAAGTTTTATATTTATTTTTATATCACTTGACTAGCGAATTTTATTCCAAGGCAGTACTTACATTCATTGGAACATCTATACCCAGAGGCTTCATGCCTGGATGAGGTCCTAAAACAAATGAGACAATTACTTATTTCAGAAATAATTTTCATCATTAAAAGTAACATACATTTTACAAATAAACTTAATGCTATATGATTATAATTTGAGAGTACCAGTTGGGGACAATGATAAGCCTAGTTTGTTTATGCTAGTGCCTTTTACTATAATAATACTCGTATGTTACATATACAGGCCAACAAGGGGTGACTTCACTGATCAATGAAAATAACTTCTACTACGGTCGCAAGTACGTAGATATCGTTGAACTAAGAGGATTTTGTGAAATAGCGAAAAAAATCAGCAGCAATATTTCTGGGCGAGTGTAAAATTCGGTATTTATGTGTTCATGTTCCATGCTTATCTCGTATTTTATAAATTATAAATCACAATGAATAAAACGTTTGTACTCTAAATATTACGCCGTACTATATTTTCATACAAACTCAATCCTATAAATCGACCTATTGTTTTCACTATTTTCAATCTGCCAATATATACTACGGCTGTCACAGTTCTTACTTTTGTATAGTATAAATTGCTCTTATTTTATAACAGATTTAGACACCCCCCACACTAGCCTCATTAGAGCGTCAGCGTGTTGCCAACGCACGCACAGCATCGACACGACG